CGATGTGATTTAATGTTTGCGGAGGAGTGGATTCCGAGGCCTTCGCGATGGGCCGAATGTGATCGCCATGGCGATCCATAATTGCAACCGCCATTGCTTTGACTCATCCTGATGGATCCCAGCAAAAATAATCCAGCTTGAGTTCTCCTGCCTCCAATCTAATTATCTATTCTCTGGGCCGTTTAGACAAAATGCAACCTTTCCAAAAGCACACAATTGCCGCTTGCAAAATATTTAAGGCATTCTAATTGTTTTTTCCCCTCCTCTCCACCTCATCCTCCACCTCATGTGGTCACCTCACAAGTGTAAGTGTTACTACACAAAACTCCCGCTGTAGCATTAATTGAAGGGAGGTATGGTGGGAGAAAGACCGTAGGGGGTAGAGAATGTCCATTATCACTTATGCTTTCAACAAGTCTCACATTCTGAAAACTGCAAATTGCGAAAACTTGCAAGGGCAAAATGTTTGACATTATTTATCTGCAACCATATGGTGAAAAGCTTCTTTTGAAGAGATAAAAATAAATAAAGAAAAATAAAGAATAATTCTCATGAAAAGAAGGACAAGGAGAAGAAAAAAACATAAATGGGAGTTTATTTTTTTATTTTTCTTGGAAATTTCATCTGTAAGGCCACCTTTTTCTAAAAAATAAAAAGATATTTTTGCGTAATTCTGGAGGCAGAGGAGCAATTGTTAACTAAGCGAAACATTCCCAGCTAACTCTAAACAGCTAAATGGCAACCAGCATAATCACAGAAGAGAGTCTATGCGGATGTTAGCTTACTAGCTAGTCTGACGTCTTCATTAACAGCGGGATTTTTATATGTTGGTAGCATATTCAAATGAAAAGTATTATAACAACATTATAACAAGAAGATTATCCCTCACACCAGTGTTATGTACATACTGCACACTGACTGTTTTGCATTATGCCGTCTGTGCTGCCATATTCTCTCTATGTATTGGATGACCATGCATTCAAGTTTCAGTAACCAGCATGTATAGTAAAGTGCCTTTGAACTCTAGTTCACCAATGTAAACTGTGCTTCAAAACACGTTTAGTATTTTAGTACTTTTAGTACGTTTAGTATTGAATTTGATACAAATATTAGTACTTGGGTCAGATGGGGAGGGAGGTCTCTCCTGACCCCCCCCCCACATTATTATTGTTCCAGGTTTATCTTCATAAGCTGTAGAGTAACACTGTAGGAGTGAAGACCTAATGGCTCTAATAGTAATTACTAATGAAGCAACTTAAAAGTGCAAGTGAAGATTTCTCCAGTGGTTGGTGGTTCATCAGCTCACATGGGAGATTTATTTTATCATAACATCCTGGATAGCATCATCAACACTTTAAACACGCAGGAATCTCAACCTTTTGAAAATGATAACAAAGGGACCTTCAGTGAGGTCTTGTTCCAACTTTAATGGAGGTGTGAGCTTCCAGAAGATGAACAATATTAAGAAGCCCGGTCTGAATGTATTTGTTAAACCTTGAAGAACAGAGGATGATCTCCCAGCAGTGGAACGGGTCCATGGGATGAATTAGCGAGGCATGTTATTTCAGCTAATCCAGGGAGTGTGCTAGGCTTCTATCGCTAATCACATGTTTACTCAAAATCAAGCTAACAATGCTAGCGGTCTGGCCCCTGTCATTCTCAGTGCTGCGTAGTTCTAAGGTACAGACTAACTTTCACACAACATTAAGCTACTATACGTTTTTTTTTCCTGTGGAAATCTTGTTTACTATTTCATACAAAACAAATAAAAAGGAAAACAGTTGGGAAGCACACAAGAGAAATATATGTATTTTGAAAATCAAGCTGCTACATATTCGGTATCAACTAATGTTTATAGAAACTGTCACGTGACAAAAATGAAAAACTGGGAGATAGAAATGAGAATAATCAAATTTTTATTATTCAACATGATAAATAAACGAGCCATTGTTTTATTATCTACACTAATCAGGATGTAGAGAGAAACTAATTCTGGTTTTACTGACTCAGAATAAAACATATCAGTGATGCATGGACAAATACACCTGATGATCTGAGAAGATGCTGAGAAGACATAGAGAAGAAAGAACCTGGAAACAGCCAACAGCTGCACCATGAATTTAAAGACACTAGGCAGGACTTTTTCTTGCCTAATTATCTCTTATTATATCATTAACACAATTAATTACTGCTGCTTCTTTTCTTTTTTCCCCTCCAAACAAGCAGCGAATACATCTACTGGCACACTAATGACTCAGAACCTCACTCTGATTAGCATGACAAAGAAAATTATCACTAGGTTAAATAGTTCAAGTAGAGAATGGCGTCAAAGGCATGCAGGATGTAAAATCTGTAGGAAATGAATGTAATTAAAAAATGAAAACCTACAACAAAAGCTATGAATGGGAGTAACCAGAAGAAGTAATTACTTAAAGACTATTCTACCGCACTACAGGATCCGCTCCACTGAAGGGCCAAAACACTTAGACCCAAAGGCATAGCTCTAGGCTAAGCATTGGCAGGCGGGCGGGGGTGAGGTCTGCACCCACTTATGGGGGTCCAGGGAGAGCTGTATTGGATACTTTTGATTATCTCCTTATAATTTATTCCCATGTCTGAACCCCAAGGATGGTGAACTTACATCAGATGAGTTATCAATGGTAGAACCAATCCAATGATGTTTTAAATGTTAAATGTATGCATGGTCTTTGTGATACTTCACAATTGTTGCTCAAAATAACACACCAGCCTTTAAACTGATGGGTCTTGAACAAATGTCAAATGTATTTGATCAAACATATTCCCATGTACAACGTACCAAGAAGTCCATTGGCAGAGGTAGAGTATTTAACTGCAGATCAAGAGCTTCCCCAGTTCAATCCCCAGTGCCCCCGCCTTTTCCACAGTTCCTTTCCAGATTAATAGAGTATCTAAGTGGAGTTTACTCATATCTCTTTTCCTTATCCGTTGTCAAATTGCTAATAATTAGATAAAACTCCCTCTTCAAATACAACTAAAAGAAATCATAAGGCCAAACAATTTAAAAAAATGCAGAGAACAAATATGAAATGAGCCACAATCGCCACAATCCAATGAGGCAAACTTGGGTTCCCCTCTTCATTGAGCACGTTGGCAGCCTCACTTTGAGAATGAAAGAGAAATCCTATTTGTTTAATGCCCCCTTTGGGATCTTTAAGATGTGTTTGGGACACTTTGTCAATGTTTGCACACAGTATTGGCACTGTAAAATGCTAGAAAGTAATGCATTTAGCTTCTATTGTGATAATATAATGGTGATCAGGGAATTAGATTCACATTTCTAACACTTGTCATCACCAGTGAGTAAACCCTTTTGCAGCTTCCCGAATAAATTTCACAAACTTTGTGAAAATGAACAGATGAGCCTGCTAATTAGCTCCGCTTGTGTTGTAAATCTGTTTATAAAGAGAGAAAGGGTTTCAAATATCTTGACACGTTTTATTAACAAATCATATCTTGAGGAAACACCTCAGGCCACCAAGGAATTCTGGGCTCCTAACGACACCCAGGCGGAAGAGATGAAAGTTTGGCAGAGCGAATCCTGCGGCGTACTTGCCGCTCATGAATATGAATGCCAGTTGGCTTTTATATTTTCTGCATATGCCATGAGTCCAGACGTTGTTCATGGTGCACTGCGCATCTGAACTGACCGACGGGGGTTAAAGAAAAGGCACAGGCTGTTGGAACTGACCATGGCCCTCATCACAAAAAGGAACAAAGTGCTGTAAAAGGAGCCACAGTCTGACACAGTCTCAAAGGTAACACTGAGAGATTTTTCAGCTAAATATGCTGGGGAAATCAACCAAACTAACACCACGCCCCAACATGAATGCTCATTATAATGACCGTCATTGGTCTGTAGCAGTTATTTAATAAGATCAGACAAGACTGATGTGTTGAGCTACTAGAACCAGTCGCGGTGTGCACAAATGGAGACTCTTCTCTTCTAGGTTTTACTATTTACTGAAAGCTAGGTGACATGGCCCTTTCAGTATATAACTAGGTGCTCCCAATAACTGTCTAAGATGGGACAGAAAGGGCTTTGACATTTCAGGTAGCTGCCAAGAACAGATCCAGGTTCATCCACATCAGAAGGACTATTCCTCCACCCTTAAAGTTCTATGAACAATGAATAGGAATTCGAGTTGATGTCGAAGAAAGAAATAATCTGTCTGTAAGCACAATGTCTGTGTCCTGCAGGCCTCAGCTGAGAACCATGTTGAGAGATGATGTCCGTGTTATGTAGGAATGAGAGGATGACACACAGCACAACAGTGCAACGGGAGGTATTGCTACTCACACTGAGAGAAAATCACCTGAAGTACCTCAACTGGAGCTTCACAAGTCTCACATCAATAGGAGACATCCAGCTAATGGTACTGAATTCCCCATGTGTAGAAATAGCCTCCAGAAGGCATGCATGCACAGACAGACAGACAGAGTCAGACAGACAGACAAACAGAGACACACAGACAGGCAGGGAGACAGAGACAGACACACAGGCAGTCAGGCAGACAGATAGAGAGACACACAGACTCACAGACAAAGACAGACAGACACACTGACTGACCGACAGACAGAGAAAGACAGGCAGACAAATAGATAGACAGGCAGACAGATAGAGAGACACACAGACTCACAGACAAAGACAGACAGACACACTGACCGACCAACAGACAGGCAGACAGACATGCAGGCAGACAGATAGACAGACAGACACAAACTGATAGATATTTCTAAATGTTTTCTTATTGCTGAAAAATAGCATTGAAGCTTTTCATTGTGCTCTGTGTTAGGATTCAGCTTCTTTGTGTTCATATTACTGACAGGTCACTAAGCTGCCACTTTAATCCAAACTGACTCATTAATCTGGCCCTTTATTCAGCCAGCATCACTATGGCAGTAGAACCTGAGCACCTGGTACAACCAGGAGCGCCGTAAAGGGGGGTTAGGACCAGGGCTCTGAACCGGTTCAAGGAACGAAAGCGAAAAACGAAAACAAATGACATTGAACAGGAACAAAAACAAAAACGAAAACAAAATCAATTTTAATCGTTCTGAACAGAAACGGAAACAGAAATTCCAAATTAACCGGTTAATAACGGTATTTTTTATCGTTCTCTTTATTATATCAATTTGGCAGACCAAAAACACGAATTCAAATTGTGTGCGCAAATGCGACGGTGACGCATACAACGTGAAATGCCCGCGAAGCAGACGTCATAAGCAGAGCCCTTTCTGATGCGACGAGCTTAAGGTTACCAAGCACCTGGCTGTTTCATGTGCAAAGGTATGTTTAGGTTTAAGTTATTGTAGCCTAATTAAAACTTGTAGTTAAAATTACAAAAAATAATTACTGATTGTCTATCTATTAACTGCATAAAGAAAATCCCTTTCGTTAATTTTTTTCATATGACAAATCGTCTGATAAATCGATCTGTAATATTAAAGGATGCGGGGCAGAAATAGCTGGGAATCATGGCGGTAACCTGCAGAGACACATTCAACGTAAACATCCAACGAAATACAGTATGTTGAGTCGACCAGCAATAAAAGGTCAGCAGCTGATGGACAAATGACTCTAGACGCGGTCGTAGTGAAAAAGCCAAAGACAACAGGCCTACATGTTCAAATGTCTCCAGAATGTCTTCCAGTAGACTATTTGGTATATTATAATTTAAGTTGTTGATCTGTTGTGTTAAATGTTAAAAAAAATCTGTTGTTGTGCATCTGTAATGCATTGTAATGTTACAATGCATTACGTTTTCTTTTACTTTTATGCATTAAATGTAAAATCATAACTATCTGGAGTTCTGCTTTGTTTGAGTGAAAATAGCCTATAATAGGCTATTATGCATATTAGGTAAGGAATAAGTTAACAGGTTTTTATCGCAGATTAAGCCGTGTGGTCAGGATGTTAAGCGGATGGTCTTGAAGGGGCTTATTTCGCTATAGTATTATCAAACAAGAAAATTGTTTAAAAAAAATTATTAGCGCATTTGTAACGAGTTTCCAGGTGAACTCGTTTACTTTCGGTTTTAAAGACAAGAAGTTCAAATGACACGAACACGGAATTTGGTTTAATCATTTGTAAACATAATGCCAAACATGTTATTAAAAGGCACACACTATCTATCTATCTATCTATCTATCTATCTATCTATCTATCGCGCCGTGTAATAAAATAACGTTTATTAACCGGTATTTTTTCTAGAAAACCGTTTTCGGAACGTATTGTTTAATGAGGAACGCAAGAACAGAAACGTTATAATATCGATTCTGCTCGGAGTGAACCGAATGGATTTTTTTTTTTCGTTTTTAAGCCCTGGTTAGGACAATTCCATGCTTTCATGGGGCCCAAAATCTTTAGCAACACCCCTGGGTACAACTGTAGTCTACCTCAACCCTTCAGAGAACCTTTGCATTGTGAGTCCATGCCCTTAACCACCAAAGAGCCCCTCCCATTATAAAACTGTACTGCACCTTTCAACCTTTTGTGTTAATGGGCTGATAGGCAGTCTAATTATATAAGTCCTATGTCCAATAGTTTAATCATCACACATCTCTGGTGGCACACCGGGTTCCGTGCTGCTGAGGAACAGGGAGAGGACGGGCACCTGTAGACCTACCACTTGTTCATTAGAGTGACAGTGCCATCTGTTTACTTACGGACAGTGATACTCCCTCTGTGAGTAATAGTCCTGAATGCAAGCATGTACCTATAGTCCTTCATCGCTTTGTAGAATAACCTCTTTCCATGAGAAGATAATGTTTGCATCACCCTCCCTTTACAGCTGACATGCTTAGCACAGAGAAAGGTATGTTAAATCACTAGGTGTTTTTCCTCACTCTGTGGTTTTTAAGGGGGTCAGAGGTCAGCAGTCTTTGACAGGCATGCAGATATACATACATACTCCTGAGACCAAAAGTTGCTGATCCCTCACTGAACTTGAAAAGGACACATCAGCTCATTAAAGAATGCTATTCAGCCTGTTCATTATTACCTCCAGTTCCTTGCACTGTGGTCTTTGCTGGCTTTAATATACGTACGGAAGGGGGGACTTTTGTGACGCCACCCAGTGGAAGTCCATTGTGCTGGACAGTACTGCTGCTTTTCCATAGAAAAGATCTCTAATCTTACTGAATGTTGCAAACAGGATGATACTTTCCTTCAAATGTTACAAACTTCATTGACCCAAGTAGTTTAAGAAAGACGATTAAATTTTTAGTAATTCTCAAAAGCCTGCTATGACATTTTAGCTAATGTCAACAGACATGCTCAGGCTGTGTGTCTTGTGGTTTGTCGTATACGGAAGACTTCATTAGCGATAAATTAGACTAGCTACTTTTATTCTTAAGGACAAATTTAAAATTGTACCAGCTAAACGTAGGAGTTTTATATAGCCATTGATGTTGTGTAAACCAACTTGTGAACTTGACATTGCAGATCACATGCGTCACAGCCACTGGTCCTGTTTTTATTTTTTGAGCGCATATCTAGAACAATTTCTTGGAGTTTGTGCATGCTCGGCACCCTACTGTATAACAAAGCGGGAAATTGACATATTATCATAGCTAATCTAAGAAAGCGGTATTGTGCGTCATTGCGTGTGTATTTGTAGACTTTTAACTGCGGTGGTAGATTATTTCCTTCAAATGGTTATGAAGAAATGGCTCGGTCCCTTTTGCCTGAACAAAATTAAGTTTTTATAGTCCTGAACAATCGCTATACATTTTGTTTACATGAAACTTTCTTTAACATTGAAAAGAAACATCGAACTTTCTGCAACTGAACAACGGATGACGTCTTCAACATTCCCTGGTGAAATGGCCACTACGGAAAAATTGTGACGTTATACGCATGCAGCTTAATACAACCCATTCAAGACAAGTCTGCATAGAAAGGGTTGATCGGGCAGCAGGCTGTTATTCTGGCTTTTATAGGGGTTATAAAATAAACATAATACATTGCTTAAGCAGATGATAGTTTTCTGCGGGGGTGTATAACCTGAATCCCACGACCTTCACAGTTCCTTTAACTGGCATTTATGTTACGTAATCAAATAGAGAAAATAGAGTTAGACGGGAAGCACAACGAAGGAAAGCCACCCTGCGGAGAGCAGGCCGTGTGACGTTTCCGCCAAGCGCGCACGGCCGTGTGGATTACATCAGCAGGCCATGTGACGATTCCGTGTGGATTACATCAGCAGGCCATGTGACGTTTCCGTGTGGATTACATCAGCAGGCCATGTGACATTTCCGTGTGGATTACATCAGCAGGCCATGTGACGTTTCCATGTGGATTACATCAGCAGGCCGTGTGACGTTTCCGCCAAGGCACGCGGCCGTGTGGATTACATCAGCATCTCCTGACGGTTTAGCGCCCATTCTCCTGTTCTCTTTGAGACGTCAATAAACTCACAGGCACACACAGGTCTCAGTATCATGACAAATACAGTGCTGTGCAAATGTCTTAGTCAGTAATAGAAAATGGTTTTTAAATGATCTTCATGTCGGTGTAAATCTATGACATTATGTCTGTCAAAGTGTGTCAGCTCAGCCATTTCAAAAACTCCCCTAAAGTCACCCCAGTAGTTGCAGCAACCGTCCAATACACCCATGTGTTTGTTGACTCGGCCGCTACCCCACCTTGATTGGTTACTCAATACCTCATTGAGTTCTTGAATTAATTAATTAATTAATTAATTAATTAATCGAGCTGGTGGAGAAATGCAACAAATACATGGAATGGCTGAGGTGCCCCCAGGAGAGCAGAAGAAATTCATGTTTATTTTTTTGTGTTACTGTTAATTTGTGTATTTTCAAATTGTCTTTAAATTGTCTTTTTTTTTTGTTCTGAGCAAATATACACTTACTACCCAGATAAACAGCCTTAAACATTTTCTTTGACTGCCTAAGACTTATTTTACTCTATAATTTCCTTCCTTCCAAACTGGATATTTGGGATATTTTTTAGATTTAAAAATTTTCGTCGTGACTCAGTTGATACATCCATCCTGTAACGTCTTAAATGGTAAGAGTCACTAAGAGAGGCAGCGTAGGCGATGAGGCTGGGGTCCACAGTGGGCAGTCCGCCTCGCTCCACAGTCATTCGTTCCTACCTGTGATAACTAACCTTATTAATACTGGCATCACCTATTAAGCACTCCTGAATTTGCGAATAAAAACCCCCCAGTTAGAGCTTGACCCCCCTATTAGCAGCAAATTCAGACAGGAACCTTGTTAAAAGTTATTGAACCTCTGTCTTCTTTTGCACCAACTGGTTTCCACACTGTCTGCTTAAAGAGTCTTCAACAGCCATCTAAAGAGAGGGGAACAAGGGGGAGGAGGGTGGGGGGTGGTAAAGTGAACAATGAAGGGGACTTAGCCCTGTGTAAATAGTGACAAGTAACAGTCAATAGCTTTATGGTAATTTTCAACAACATGACAACGGCAGAGTTTGGTCTGACAGCAGAGTAAAGGAGAACGTGCGGCCTTGATGGCCCCTGTTTGCACCCGTCATCGGGCCCGCTTACCCTTGGGGAACTGGCGGGGAGAGTGTCCAATCGGTGAGCTCCGGTCCCCTGGCTCAGCCTGCTACGGCCCCGAGGATCAGGCATGGCAACCGCATGCTTTGTGCTGCCCCGTGTCGGGTGGTCCACGTGGTCAGAGGAGCAGCGTAAGTGTGCATAACAGCACTAAAACAAAGCACTACAGTCACCGCTGATGATGCGGAACTCCTGCCAATTAACGTTCCTTGTTATAGAAAATCACATTTTTTTAAATATATTTTCAAAAAAACGTAAAAGTACAGTCAAAAGAGGCACCAGCTGAACACCTCCCTGATAACACTCAAATATCCAGCCCATAATAAGTGGTTTCCTCAGAGCTCTGGCCGTGCTGCATGGTTCATTTTTAGACAGGATCTCACACGGTTCCATTATGATTCCAAGCCATCCCCCTGTCTGTCCCTCTACCACCCGCTGATGCCTTGATCGTGACGGGGTAGCATGCCAGTGGGGAACAATTACACATGAATCCCGCCTTTGATCACTCGGTTATGCCAGTGTGACAGCTGACCATATGTCTGCTAATGCGCTAAAACAATAAACACTTTAAAATCGCTCAGAAGAGCCTCCCGGCAACCACAACAAGATAGCGCCTAACAGATTGTGAAATAAATTCCAGAATATTCTGCTGTAGGTTGAGAGAGTTACCATGACTGAACCTAATGCTAATTCAGGTTAAACACCAGCTGATTTCCGCCACGTACAGATGTCAACATCTATATGTCAGCTGTCTTTTTTATGTTCAGCCTTCTAATAATTACATTTGTTGCACTATTTGCAGATTCTTTGTAAGGGTCATGAAATCCCCAAAATACACATTTGTAGACTTTTCGGTTTTTTCCAGCCCCCTGTAAATTGCAGTAAATCTCGCTTTTTGGTTAGCTTTGTAGGGATTGACTGATGATGTGGATTGCAGTAAAAAGAGCATTATGTTGTCTTTGAAGAGTAACACAAGTCCAGTGGATGTACTATAGAGTTGTACCAAACAGACATGCTGAAATAGAGCCTCTTTACAGCATTAGTGCAGCACATATCATGGGTCCTTCTCTGTTTCTTCTGTCATTCTGGCAGCTTCATGTGGTATCTGTGAAAATTGGAGGCCACAGGCAAAGGTTAATCCCAGGACCCCCTGTCATCTTATTCCAGAGACTTCCTAGAAATGTTAATGTTTGTAATTGCGCTGTGCAAGTAAAACTGTCAGGATAGAGATCAACAGTAAAACTCCAGTGTGTTCCACGAAACAGACGGATTGTGTGAGTATTGGTAAGGTGTTTTAATTACAGCAGGCTTGGTATGAATGGGCTTTTCTCTTTCTGGGAAACGAAAGTCTCGCTGGGAAAGACTCAAATAGAATTATCGCAAACGACCAGCAGGGGGAGCACCGTCTCTATTGTTGTAGCTCCAGCGCGTCCTACCGTGTTTTACGCTTTGTATCGAAAGAATTTGGATCTGTCCAGTCAGGACTATGTTGTAGATGTGTTATCGCCCTAATACTTTCGGTTTTTACTACTGTTTCCATTACAAAATAATACTAATAATAATAATAATAATAACAATAACAACAACAACAACAATTATTATTACTATCAGTATTGTTATTCATAATAATAATAAAAATAATAATATTTATTATTGTTGTTGTTGTTGTTTTTGTTATTTTTATTATAAATTGTGAGCCTGCGCTAAATATCTGACTAAAGGGAGACATAAATTGGGCAGCACAGGGGCTCAAGCTTCTGAATCATGCTTCTGCTGTCTGTAGTATTTACATGTTCTTCCCGTGTTACACTTCCCTACCATCTAAAGGCAGCCAATGAAGTTAATTGGCGTCTCCAAATTCCCCGTAGTGTGTGTGTCCTGAGATGGACTGGCATCCCATCCATGGTGTACTCCAGCCTCGTGCCCTGTACCCTGGTGACCCTGACCAGGCAAAGTAGCTGAAAAATAGCTGGAATAAGATTAATTGGGCTGGCATAGTGGTGTGGCAGCGTGGTACGGCAGCCTCACAGCTCTGGGATTATGGTCTGGCTGGTGTCTGTATCTCTTTGCCGTTGTGTGTTCCATGTTTTCTCTGGGTATTCTGTTGTCCTCCTACAGTCCAGGAATATGCAGCAAATTGGTGGTCCTGAGTTGAGCATAGTGTATAATGAACTGGCATGTCATCCAAGTTGCCCTGTGCTTTGTGAACTCTGCTTAGTGGTATAGGCTGCAGACTCAGCGTAACTGGAAAATGGATGGTAATATCATCATTAAACATTCAAGAAACGACATGAATCATAAATCACGTTTATTCTAGAAATAATATGTAAAATCGAACAGCCATGCTTGTGCAAATGGAAAATTCAAATTAAATATGTCAAACATACTAACACTGAAACCCAGTAGCAGCAGGTGTTACATACTTTCCAAAATTGTCACTTTTTATTATTGCAGAGATTAATTAACTGTGTGCGTGTCGGAGTGCTTGTGCGTCTGACTATGCGGACCTGAAGCATGCCCCCTTTGTTTGCTCTGAGACGTAAATGCTGACTAGGTGTAAAGCCGCAACGCCAGGCTCTCCATGCATAATCCTTTGTTCGCCTCTCTGACAGTTATGTGAGAACACTTTGTCTTTAACAGCTGCACACTTAGTGAGTGTTAAAACTGCCAGTTGTAGACAATTAGGATCTTGCACTGAATTTTATAGTCTGCGAGCATAATGGGGAAATTTATACCAAAGGCGGGTTTTCTTGGCACTTTTTCGTCACGCGTCCAGTGGAAGCTGTAAGTGTGAGCTACGGTCCAGCCGGCAACTCACTGTCACTAATATTGTTTGGTGATAATTTCCCATAAATGATTCACAAAATTATTTGCACTAGGTTCAGAGATTCATGATCAGATGGTTTGAGCACAGCGGTCCAAGCGTGACAAGAGATTCCCTAAATCTATACCATGTTCATGAAGGTGGGAAAGATAATTTGGATCATTTGAAAGAGTCGTCACATCAGATTGAAATACGTGTTACCCGGAGAGAACAGACCTTCTGAAGTTTTGAAGCATGTTATTCGCTTATATTTTGAGGTTTTATGATTTTTCAGCTAAATATATTATATTAAAATAATAATATTTCCCTGTGACCCTGATTAAGATAAGCATTTAGAAAATTGATGGATGGATTGATAAATAACTTTATAAAAACAAAAGATGAACAAAACTGTTACACTTTAAATTTATGTTTAAATTTTCAAGCCAAAAATGGAAGGAATCCAAGAATCAAAGGCCTAAATCCCGTTCCTAAGCTCAGCTTTGTTGTCCTCTGCAGTGGCTCTAAACAAGGAAAAATGGCTCCCATCGCCATGTTGTGACATTTTCCATATGAGGCGCAATTAGAAAGCGGGGCCTTCCCAGAGTGCCCCCCCCCCCCCCCCCCCCATGTCACTCACTTTCCGCTTCTTAACTCCCTGATAACAGTAAACAAACCACTTTGGTGGGGGGTCTAGACGAGAGCCTCCCGGCCTGGGGAGGGCTGGCTGGCGTGAGTGTGGCGTCGTGCCTTCGTGTGTTTGCACGGTACGTGCCGCCCCGGTCTGTGCACAGGTCTGTGTGCGCTGGACAACTCTAATACATTGTAATTGAGGTGCAATAGGGGAATCCTGTTACCCCCCCCCCCCCTGCTCTTCCCAGATGACCTGCTCTCTCATTCAGTGGTGGTTCTTTACATAATAAAAGAGATCCTCAGCACTAATCCTGCAGGGTCTTCCCCGTTTTCCTGAATATTGCTCCAGGCAAGGCAGCGCACAAAATGCCTCATTTGCATCCCTAAACTGTCCAAACTGTGAATAAGCCTTTTTAGTTGCAAATGGAATTACATCTCCATTTCCAGAGCAGAACAGAGGGGTGGACAGCCCTCACAGATTCATGGTAACTCATCTCTTCTTCAGGCTCGTCAAGCTCAACACTGCCTCTGAAATGCAGTTTGAAATGGAAGTGTCGCCGTTGATGACATGCAGATAAGGCAATTCAGAGCCAAACGAGGGTCACTTAACTCCTGATATTCGAATTCCCTTTCCTTCCCTCTACAGCCCCCCGGCAGATGAGCCTGCGCACTGGAGCACTGGAACACTGGAGCACTGGAGCACGAGTGCTACATTACACCTGAGAAGCTTGCTAGCTCCGTGCGGATTACCTAAGTGAGGACCAGAAGGGAGAAGGACAGTGGGGATTCAGAACCAGCCACCAAGGCGCCCTGCCACCCCACATTCCCCGTTGTGCATCAAGGTCACGCCGTTGTGTCTGCAACCTATAAATCACCCATAATTATCACCATTTTAAGTAAGTTCAAGTTAACTTGCCTACAAAAATTCCCAATGTAGTCAGTCTGTGCTGTTAAAATCAGTAGGTGATGCTGCCCAATTTGTATGTGTACCACAGTGAAGTCTTCTGAGGAACAAAAAGATTCTTCACGGAGCCGGGAGCCTATCCCAGGCAACACAGGACATGATAAAACATTCACATAAACTTCCCAGGATATGGGCATTGTAACTTATACATAAAAACCTTACAAAAATAATTGGACAATTATTTTATGAGTAACCACAATCAACAATGTAACATCTGGTTTAAACCAGTCACACAATGCATATGGGTACTATTAAGAACTCAAGTTATATTCATTTGTTACAATGTGTCAAAACCATTAAAACACACATAGTATTTCCACATAATCTTTCCATAAAGTATCACTTTATGACCTACAACTGGCCCTTTCTCCTCAGTTTGAGGTACACCTCTCTTCCCACTGATTTCATTTTGTCTTGTGACAAATATATGTCACAAATGAAAATAAAAATGCTTACTTTTGGTAATCTCCATCCATTCTATCCATGAATTTTGTAGTACAATGAATTAATCATTGATTTGTGTTTGTGTAGACCACTTAAAGATAACCTTCCAGAATGCAGCCAATTCAGAGCCGGGATTTAGGGCTGATCCCAGAATGCACATAGCCAGTGCCACCCAGCACAGGGCATAGTGGCAGAGTAAGTGTTTAGTGACAGAGAGTCACCTCAGCTATGTCTCTTTGGACTTTGGAAAGAAACCAGATTATCTGGAAGAAATCCGTGCAAGAATGTGAACACCATTCACACAGATAGAGTACAGCTGTCAAAGACACAATTACAGCATTTTTGAGTATGTCACTTATATATCTTATATATACTGATATTTATATATAAAAAACAACTGTCATAACCTGCTATATGTTTCTATCCATACCTGATATATTACTTACTATTCTGTTACCATTTCCCTTTAGTTTGACTAAAAAAACAGTCAATGCCTTTTAATTTGTGAAGTTATTTTTTTAAAAGCGGAAAAAATAAAGAAAGGAAAGAATTTCTCCTCGCTATATCACCCTATCGAAAAATGAACAGAAAATGCGAGGTGTTAAATTGTATTGTTCTGTGGCTGTTATCCCACATCTGATTCACATTTCAGTCAGTTGTTTGGCTTTTTAATCCTGGAACTATCTGGCACTAAATTTCACTGAATTGCTCTCATTACTCGGCCAAGTGAGTTGAGAGAATGCACCCCATTTCTCTGCCTCCTGACGAACACAAAAATAAACTAAGCTAGTGTTCCATTTCCATGGAAACTGGATAGTTTTCATAGTTCCCTTCTCAGTGGGTGGGGTCTCAGCAGATCATTGGACAGATAGCTGTTGCATGTCTTGTTCCTGCGACACAATTAAATCAGATACAGCTATAAGGGAAAGCAAGCGACGCAATTTATTAACCATGTGAAGCACACATATTGGGCTACAGTCTGTGGGAAAGCTACTTTGCTATTCATTAGGAAAATTATGAGATGGATACAAAACAACAAAATTCACACATGTGCTGAAATTAACATTTAGACTGGCTTCTCTGTGGAGCTCAGTCCCACCCACAGATTCCTCTTCTGGGGGATTCTCCTTGCCGGTGTGATTCACAGAATCCATTCTGTACTGCTCAGAAGGACAGTGATATCCCCGGAATTGCCTCTTCGATTTCCGAATGTTCAAATAAGTGCAGTGGTAGTAGGATCTGCTTCAAAATGACCAAATCAAAATCTACTTTTTTGACATAATAAATTACACCATTACTAGATATTTTCAGACAAAATAAATTTTCAAGCATGAAACAGCAGCCCTCCAAGGGAAACGTGACAAACAGTAGAAAAATTATTAAAAATGGAATTAGCTATAATGTAAAGCTTCTTTGGTATTTTTACTTTGTTGCATTGGGTAATGTGAGACAATGTTACATATTCATTGATTTTAACTGCAGTTGAATGATTTATTGAATGCTTGTTGTTCCCCTCTGCACCTCACAAAGTGGTAGGTTTTGCAAAGCAATAATTAACAAAGGAAAATACAAAGACTGCACATGGCTTGATATGGCATAAATGAATGAAACCAATATTGTGTTCAGAAATGAATATACCACCCTTAAACTTATATCACATCGGTACACAGTTTATGCGCAGGCACGTGTTGTGGTAAAAAACACTCCTGCATAAGTTCTCCGCCTCGACCACCTTGTGTGCTGACGCTGAGGTCACTCTGGAGCTGAAGTCTGAGCTGCACAGGTGACTCTAAACAATTAAGTTCCGTTCTCAGCTGCATCTCCATCTGCTTGTCCTCGGCCGTTCAGAGCAGCTGTCGTTCAAATGGCCGGACCAGCCGCTCAGCTTCCTGTCCATGAAATACACGGCACCTCATGTGGGCCACATCGCTGCCCGCCACATCCCTCCCACATGCTGCACATCTAATTACGCTAGCATGGCCAGCAAGTGCTCTTCGGGTGGCTATTATTATTATTATTATTTATTGCTGCCGTTGCTTTTGTTGTTGTTGCTGTTGTTGTGAAACCTATGGAATAAAACGTTAAATAAAATAAAAGAACAAGCTCTCAGCAGACTCTTTGCACAGCTCAATCTATTTTCTCCACGTCTCTAAAGAAGAGACATGGAGATGTGATTAATGGACGTTGAAGATTCCCTTAATGATTTAACTTAACTTAGAGAAACTGTCCCTCTCCTGAGCTTTGGGGCCGTGGCCCAACATTCTCTGTGCACCTATATTAATATATTAAAATGTATTAAAAACAATTCCTCCGGTATAGCTAGCTCACAAGTACAAAATGAATAAATGTCAAAAATACTTTAACTGTAACTCTTTTAATTACATATAAAACTCTGTAGTACATTTGATTGTGTAGTGATACATTTGGTAGAAAAATTATTTGGAATTGAACTGCTCCAGGGACCAATTTCTCGATTGTACAATGTTTTGGATAAAAGAGTCTGCAAAAAAATAAAATAAATGCAAGTGCTCAAAAATGTAAATGTGATCTCACCCCATTAGGTTATTATTACAAATGGCTAAGAAACAGCTGAAAATCAAAACATCAATATTCATAATAAGAATATATAAGGACCAGCTGCGTTTTCCAAAACTGGTGAACCACTGCTCAGTCACAAATCTTAAAAAAGAGAGATCCCAAACCAGTACAAATATCTACAGATTAGTTTATACAAACTCACTTACAGGGTTTGACGTCGCTTTCTGATACGCACACACACACACACACACACACACACACACACACACTCTGCATTTTCATTGTAACAGCATGTGGCCGTGCACCTTGATTTTATAAAAGGTTCAGTCAAATCAATGAGCGACAAAGGGACCCAGGCACTGTAATTCCCAGGCATGTTAATAATAATCTCATCCTGGGGTCCACAAAGCCCATCCAACCTTTTGTTTCTCCCAGATTCATTGCATAACAATGAATGGCAGGCTGGCCATGCAGGGGGCAGAGGAACCTAGCAGAGCTGCATTGTCTCTCTCCCTGTGAGCAAGGTGCTGCTTCTTCACGGAAACAGGAAGCCAGGGGCCCAGCATAATGTGGGACGGCCGTGTGTTTAAAAGCGGAGTTACACCTGAAAGGGGTTCAGTCAGGTGAAGTTCTGTACCTGTGGTGCAGAAGGAGAGAAGAAAGACTGAGTGGAATAATCTGCTTTTGTTTAACTGAACCTGCCGTTTCAATCTATTTCCAAACCAATAATTATGTTAGTAGGAGGATTAGTAGCACATGTTTATTGTTATTTTTTGTAGATATTCTATTCTTAGTTATGTGCACATATTGGCTTTCAAGAGTTTATGGAGTAAATTCATTTAAAAATGTAAATCATGATAAATTCTATTACAAAAAACTGAATGTTTTCAACAGGATTAAAATCAATTGTATGGAAACAGATTTTAAAGAAGCAGGAGGAATACAGCTAGCTCTCAGCAGCGAGGCTGTAAACACACACACACACACACACTAGGAAATGTCTGGTTTTCAATATGATACCTGATATGCCACACATTTACAGTTATTGGTGTAATTTCTGGTGTAATTTCAGTCTTGAAATGATTTTAATGTAACCTTAAAGCTAGCTTTGCTTTTTATATGCCAAGGAAGCCAAACTCACGTTATAGTACCAGAAACATGAAGACCGGCTAAGTAAGACAATCATATCGAAAACAGCACATCGTCAAAGTGTGACCGTCCGTGAATCAAATAGAGCCGCATCTGCACACGACAGGAGGAGAGCAGCCGCAACTCTCCAGCAGGATCGAGAGGGTCTCCTCTCTGTGGAGCACCACCGAGACCCATGACAGAAGTACCTGCGATCTGTGGGACGGGAGTCCAGGGTGTGATGAGTTCAGGAACCTGATGGCACAACCCAAGGCTGTCATCTGTATCTAATGTGCTTCATTTACTTAATGATATGTCATGCCGTGAAAAGCAAGAACCAGAAATAATACAAAAAAACTGTAGATCTTCACAAAACAGAAGCGGGATCTCATTGCTGATATAGCCCATCCTGTCCTTTCTACGTTTTTTCAATCCAAAAACTAAGATATATAGGCTGTTCTCAAAATAAGCCTGCCCACTAAGATATAACTAAAAGAGTACTAACTGCCCACTAAGATATAACTAAAAGAGTACTGACTGCCCACTAAGATACAACTAAAAGAGTACTAACTGCACACTAAGATATCACTAAAAGAGTACTAACTGCCCACTAAGATATAACTAAATGAGTACTAACTGCACACTAAGATATAACTAAAAGATTACTGACTGCCCACTAAGATACAACTAAAAGAGTATTAACTGCACACTAAGATATCACTAAAAGAGTACTGACTGCCCACTAAGATACAACTAAAAGAGTACTAACTGCACACTAAGATATAACTAAAAGAGTACTAACTCAACCAAGAAAGGAGCTGAATGCTGTGAGCGTGGAGGCCCAGAAGAAACTCTTTCAAAGAGGCAGCTTTTATATATTTTTTTGAACACACTTGTTCCCCAATCCAGTTCCACTGGGCCTTTGGCAAATGTGTCCCACTTGAACAATTTATTTGTTTATTTTGCATTGAGCTGTATAAAGGTAAAAACATTTTCAGATGTGAATGACTAGTAGAGGCGTTTATAGAGACCCAAAGCAACGCCCACAATACTCAAATAAAAGAATGAACCGGAGGCTGACTTTGGTGTCTGGTTATTGGTGTCTTTGGAGGTGTGTGGGTTTCTAAAAGCTCGGCCTGCTGATCACACCTTTAATTCAATTAAAACAAAGGGGTCAGCCGCTGCTTGTCTAAACAGAGGTGAAAGGCTACAGGATGACATGAATACCAATGTGTGATGTATAAATGAGCTCCCCCATCTGTCAGACAGATCAACGTGAATATTCACATCCAGCCTCCCGGCCTCCGCGTCTCCCATTTACCTCTGCGGATATTCCATTATCTTTTCCCATGGTCATGCCAAGAGATAAGTGACCCAAGGAGCTCATGTTTATTCTAAAATCGCTTTTCTGTCTGCCACCTCTTCTCCATTTGTGAGTGTTAGCTTTTTTTTTCTCTCCTTCGGGCTTTAATTTGCACTTAACTGACTGCCGGAGAAGGTATATTTATGGTTTGGGATTAAATACTCACATTGCTCTGAGCTGTCCATAGGTATCACAGCGTTTACCGATGAAATTTTAAATTCTATATGTAATACAATTCACTATGAGGATTAAATGTTGTTTAAATAGGGAAGTAGGGAAAATTAAATAGGGAAAATTATAAAGTGTTCCCAGGTCCCCAGAAATGTATATTTTTCCAATGTATATGTAATATTTTTTCCAGTTATGGAAAAAGAACAAGCATAGACTTAAACAACGATGAGAATGGAAACCCATGGTGTGTGGAGGATTTTTAGTGAAAGATAACCTACATAAATTATTGTTGTATCTTAATACAAAAATATTGTCATATTGTTATTGGCAGGGATGGGTGTATTCTGTGAAATGTTCTCCATGGCATTTTTTGAGGATAGGTCATTGTCACAATGTTTACTTTGCATTCTCACGTAGCTGTGAAATCAGCCTGAATGTGTCAAAGAGAAAACAAACAGGCACGACTGGAATGCTGTTTTCTCCAAATGAAGGTGAAGGCACGCTTCAGATGGAAGCCCGAAAGCCAGACGATGTGGCAGGACATATATTACCCCCACTTGAACATCTTCTGCTGCAGAAGAACGAGGATGAGGGCAGCCGACACTCCCACGATGAGGGAGGCCGACGCTCCCATGATGAGGGAGGCCGACGCTCCCACGATGAGGGATGCGCCCGCGATGAGGGACATACCCACGATGAGGGAGGCCGACGCTCCCACGATGAGGGAGGCCGACGCTCCCGCGATGAGGGACGCGCCCGCGATGAGGGACATACCCGCAATGAGGGACGCGCCCGCGATGAGGGACATACCCGCGATGAGGGAGGTCGATGCTCCCACGATGAGGGACGCGCCCGCGATGAGGGACATACCCGCGATGAGGGAGGCCAACGCTCCTGACGATGAGGGACGCGCCCGCGATGAGGGACATACCCGCAATGAGGGAGGCCGACGCTCCCGTAATAAGGGATGTGCCCGTGATGAGGGACGCACCAGCGATGAGGGAGGCCGACGCTCCCGTAATAAGGGATGTGCCCGTGATGAGGGACGCACCAGCGATGAGGGAGGCCGACGCTCCCGTAATAAGGGATGTGCCCGTGATGAGGGACATACCCGCGATGAGGGAGGCCGACGCTCCCGTAATAAGGGATGTGCCCGTGATGAGGGACATACCCGCGATGAGGGACGCGCCCGCGATGATGAGACGCACCAGCGATGAGGGAGGCCGACGCTCCCGTAATAAGGGATGTGCCCGTGATGAGGGACGCGCCCGCGATGAGGGAGGCCGACGCTCCCGTAATAAGGGATGTGCCCGCGATGAGAGTGGCCAATGCGCCCATGCGTCTGACACACCCAGAGATCGCCGACACTGTTTGCAGCTCAAAATTAGTGTTTGTCAACTATCTTGCACTGAGTCAAAATAAAAGTATGGAAAATAAAACAAAAACAAACTTAAGGGCAGGATCATAGATGAGTCCCCCCATTCTTCTATTTGGGGGGGGGGGGTGGTTTCGTCCTTTTTGGCCATTAACCCAGTGCTAATCCTGGGCCCGGACATAGCGACATCCCTGCAGGACTCAGTGGGAGCGTATGGACCTCAGGCCGGTATCCGCCAGCGCGGGGGGGGGGGACATGGGTGCAGCATGTCCGTGCAGCGAGAGAATGCTTTGAAGGTCATGCTCATTGCCACACCGGGACCCCACATCTTCACATCTCCGACTTCAGTCGTGGTGTGTAGACCCCTTATGTAACATTCATTACTTTACTAGTTGTGTGAATGTCAAGCAGCACTTCCTTTCGTTTAGGAGGGCATGGCAGCGTGACAGGACAGAGAGCCTGGGATGACGGCACAGCCCGGCACAATTATAAAGCTCGCTCGATGTCCGTCAAACAGATCCTTTAAATTCACATCTGATTATTAAAGTACGACTCGTCTTCATGGAAAGTGTACATTTAAGGTAAAAATATCACAATGGGTATTAAAAAAAGGCAATGGCCATGTACAGTAATATGTGATCTGTATGCCTTCTCTTGAATAATCTAGCAGACAGTTGGAGTGACCCTTTATAATTAATGCCATCTGTCGCAGTATAAAACTTCTGGTGAAAACACACGGCAGAGGTGCCACACAGAGTGAGTCCTGCTGATATTCCCCTGCAGTTGAGCGGGGAATGGCTTTACTCCTGATAAGCACAGATAATTAAAGAGTAATTAAATAAATTGACAATAATTATTCAGTACCTTCACCACCAGAAACACTAACAACCTGGCAAAACTTTCAACCATCGTTTGTTCTGTATTTTTCTCCATCACAAAGACAAAACGAAATAAAGAAAATAATAATAAAACTGCGAGGGAGGAATTCAGGAGGCTGCATGTGATTTTAAAGGTAAATAAATATTTAGCTAAAACTGTCACAGTTATTAGACATGCACACTCGAGTGAACATCACTGCTACAAGCTGTGCCTCACGATAACGAAAACTCCACATCACTGCTACAAGCTGTGCCTCACGATAACGAAAACTCCACATCACTGTTACAGGCTGTGCCTCACGATAACGAAAACTCCACATCACTGCTACAAGCTGTGCCTCACGATAACGAAAACTCCACATCACTGTTACAGGCTGTGCCTCACAATAACGAAAACTCCACATCACTCTTACAAGCTGTGCCTCCGTTTTCCAAACAATAATGAAAATTCCACATCACTGCTACAAGCTGTGCCTCACAATAATGAAAACTGACCCCCTTCAACAATAGACAATTAAAACAATCAATAAATAAAGCAGCCTTTCAAAAAAGGTTTGAGGAGGACAGAGCGGTATAGGGGGTTTCTGAACATAGGACAAGACTATTTTAAGACACAGGGAAAAGTGTAATTATAATGCACATAATACTTATAAGCTCATCCACATCATAAAATCACTGCAATAATCAATATATATATATATACTCATATACACGCACACACAGTTATATATATATATATATATATATATATATATATATATATATATAGAAAGAGAGAGAGGTATACAGGTATAGCTTTGCCTATTTCTATAAGATTAAAATTGGCCGTGCCTGCATGTGTGTTCTGTGTCCACGTGTGTTAGTGTAGCTGCATTTTTAGGCCTGTTCCATCTTGGACTGAAAAACATGGATAGAAGCTCATTTCCAAATACCAGCAAGTAACAGAACTTTATTTCCTTGCATTGTTGCTTCTGTCCTGGCCTTCCTCTCTCTCTCTCTCTCTCTCTCCCTCTCTCTCTCTCTCTCTCTCTCTCTGTGTGTGGCACAGGCTTGGGCAGAGGCCAGGGCGGCTCCCTGTAGTGCAGGCTGAATCCAGCAGCCCCCTGTACCAGCCCTCGCTAAGTCGTCTGGTCCACATTGGCACCAGGAAACACCCAGAAGAAAGAAAAAATATATTTATGTAGAGGAACATCAAACACGGCCTCATCTCTTCCTCCGCATCATCTTTTCTATGGGTTTGAATTTGGGGGTAGGTAAAGCCCAGCCCAAACACATTCAAACTGACAGTAGAGACTCCTCTCTGCCTGATGGCCACCGTGGAATCATCCATGATATCTTTTGTGATTTAGGGCTGGTGGAGCTGATGCAGGCAGAGGAGCAGATCACCTCCTCTGCCCTTTTATCACACACCTAAGACAGACACAAATAAAACACACTACCTACAGCTGTAGACAACGTGACCCATATTTTTGAAGATGTGTGATAGTAGTGTTCCATGCTATTTTCTCAGCTATTTGTGCAGTAAAGCAAACTCTGGGTGGAGACAGGATAATTACATTAATAGGGAGAGTGGAATGAGCTTCTCTGCAGACCTCATCAGATTGAACTTCAACCAGCCAATGGATGTTCAACAGTGATCCACCTGGAAAATGATCCACAAAAACTGAGTGATGGTTCATCCACAGATGTCCCCTCTGTCTTCAGTCAGTTCATTTAAGAACATCGTGCATTCATAATCTGGAAACATATCAGTAAACCTGAATATCACTCCTTTTCCATTCAGCCATTTTATACAGGCACACACACACACACACACACATACCCTTTGTATTCACTCGTTTTTAGCAGACACACAGAACTTAAGATAATGAGGTGACAGACAATGGCGCTCATGGGAGACATTCCTGGGAGTCAAAATAAACAACTGGATCCACCCTGCTGGGAGGACGCGGCATTTAAACATTTTAAAATCTTTTCACTGTGTTTCCCCCCAAAATATTCAAAAAGGAGTTTTGCTTCCTACGTTTTATATTTTAGGAAAATGTACATAGAAATTGTACGGGATAGAATTGCTGAGAGCTGGATTAATGCTATTCTGATGAGGATGGTTAGTCTGTAATTTAAATTATTTAAATAATTTAAGTCAACGATTTAAAGACGCAGAAGAAAACATTTTACCGACAGAAGGGGTTTGGCCATATAAGGAGTAACAAAAGATTTTGTAAATTTTAGCTTGGGCACTGGATTTTCTCCAACTGCTGTCACTGGGAGTTCATTGGGTCCTATAGCTACTACTATGGTTTATACTTTTGTCATATTATCTCTACATTCACCACCATTTCACAAGCAAGGCGGGGTTAAGCTCAGGATATTCATATATGCCAGACACTCAATCACCCAAATTGAATTTATAACCACTTATTTCCTGTTGATAGGAGGTTGGGAAGGTCATGCTGGTCGTACATATAGAGGTCATGAACTCCACTAGACACAAGTGTGGACAGAAACATGCTCTCCAGCATCTACTGTAACTATCCAAAATCACTATCAGGATCTTTACTGCCACAGGACCAAGGCAGGTGTAAGTTCCTGCCGGCACAGTTTGCTACTGTTCGAAGTGCAATGAGAATGGAAAACTAACAACTAGGACACAACACAGACAGCGAATATAGGAAAGAAGATACGCAACAGGGAAAGAAAAAGGTGAGACGAGTGATAGATACAGTAGTTATGCACATATACAAGTAGTTGAGAGAGGCACAATACAAATAACATACATGTGTACATATAGTACAAGACATACATGAAATGTGCAATTATAATGTGCAAACAGATTTTGGGGGCAGAGCTTACGCAAATACACACGTGGAATTCATGCTTCAGAAACTTGCACATGCTGAACTTCATTAGGAAAATGGTTCAGTTTGTATATCCCTCCTTTTCCTTTTCATATCATTAAAATAAACAGGTTTGCAAAGCCACAATACATCTTTTGAGTCTTCATGGGAGCGATACATATGTGGCTATTCTGGGCATCCAAAGTTCAAATGACAGTGACTGGGAGCAACTTGAACTGAACCAAATTTTTTTTTTTTTTTTTTTTAAAAAACATGATCTTTGCATGAAATCCTTTCCCTAGAGACCCATGAGCTCAGGATTTTAACCTGTCAGCACAATTTTAGGTCCTGACTGCTGAACCCCTGTAGATCTAGGTGAGTTGACAGTCCGCAAGGAACATGGTTTTATCTGTGATGGCTGGGACAGGGTCAAAGGTCACTTCAGTACATTCAGCCTCTAGTTTACTAAAAGGATCATGTCATAAATTGTGAGCATTAGAATAAACTAAGAAAAGAAAATGAGAACAATGAGCCAGTAGTGATGAAGCCATATGAGATGATAATGGAGAATATAGCTGAAAATGTACCAGAAATTGGTACATTTTTTGGACACATTATATATTAAATCAGAACTAATTGATAATAATCCACCTATTGCTGTAAGCAAAACTATTAATGAAATATGAACACTCAAAATAAACATGTGTATCAGAGCTTTGTATGGTTTTTAAGAAAACTGAACAAATTCAGAAAAATACAGCTTTACATGTACAAAACTGAAAAAAAACTTGTATTACAGCTTGCTATGGCATGAACAAATCTGAATAAAACAGTCAACACAATCACATATACGAGCCCTTGGTCTGGACACATGAAGATGTGCAAACAGGAGATTTTGTTGACCAGGGGGGTTTGGTTAAATTACTTCAAAGCACCATATTGACTTGGTTATCAGTTACCGAAGATGCACAAATCTTATTGGTGCGTTTTAAACCAAACGTTAAATTTAAGTAGTGATGAAGTAAGATAATGTTATTTAAACAACCTGGTTCTCATGAGAATAACTTTATAGAAATAAATCTGAAAATAAGATAAGCCATCAACCCATTGTTGTACTATGTATTAGCTCTGATTCTGAAACAATATCTTACTAATGAGGTGCAAGAAAACAATTCGGGAAAATTGTAGCATCCGAGTGAGAACTGATAATAGTACAGAATAGCTCTCACCGCTTTAAATGCGGCGTCTGCTACAGCAGCACCGTCGTGTTGGACTTTGACATGAACATCTTTGCAGTTGATGGATTCCCTGCTGCATCCAGTTCATCCAGTGCCCCAGTGATCGGCACATTAGCTCCTTCCAGCCCACCGGCTCCAGTACCAAGTGAGGGACCATTATAGACAGGTTTGACGTGGACCTTAGCTGGCAGTCCATATATTGATAAACATAGTGAACACAGACATTGATGTCAAAGATCACAGGCACAGCCAGTGACATGGAAACAACTGTAGGTACATTTTACATTTTAAAAGCTAAAACAGACATGAATAGTTTTGCTATCCAATGAAAACTGCATATGTCCACTTTTGCCAATCGTGATTTTTTTTTTTTTTACTATAAATGCAATTCCCTGCTGTCTACTGAGAGCATTTAACATCTAATTGATCAATGAAAAGATGTGTTATAAAGTCATCAATTTCACTAGAATTTATGATTGTACTAGTTATCATTTGTATTCATTATGGTTGTTTGTATGGATTACTTCCTATCGCAAATTTTAACAACTTAACATTTATAAGTTAATTATGAATATAAAGAAAGATTATTTTGTATCTTGCTGACACTGACAAACAGTCTATGTAAGTCCATTGAAAACATTAGACTGATCACTAATAGCTGTGTCACGGTTTCTATTTGTGCCTTCTCGTTAAGCTGTTTTGGGTTTAGTTAGTAATGTAGTTTCTGAGAAAATGCATTTTTCTCTACTGAAATTATGGATTTTTAAAGATATCTGTTTTCACTGGACAGCGACTATATGTAACATACTTCTCATTACAAAACCTTACAAAAACTGATACCACACTGCGTATGATTCAAAAACATGATTAGTGAAGTTATTTTCATGTTGCTCTACTAGGTTTTGAAAAGTGGTTCAAAGGGAGTTTATCACAAAGTTGTTTAATTAGTGTCGTTCCCTTACATGAAAATTAATTATAATAAGCCATTGTGCACAACATGTACTGTGCGTGCATATATATATGCAAATATATATATATATATATATATAGACACACACACACACATATGATTTCTATGTATTTACCTGAAGAAGAAAAGGCACATAAGTTTAGGCTTTTAATTGAAAACTAAAACCGTTGTGTTCTGCATAATTTTGCCTATTATTCTGAACTTTTCTCCAACTATTGAAATATTTCTTTCAAGATCATGTTTGAGCAAAGCCATTGGACCAGATGTCTATTTCCAATGTCCGTCACTTACAACTTGGGTCACCCTACTGTCATCAGAACAATATTTTGGTTGCATGTCCAGATCTTTAACTCTCATGTCACTCCATATTCAACCCATCCAAGCGTCATTCTTAACACTTGTTCTCCACGGGGTCACAATCAGCCTGGAGACTATCTCACAAAGCAGGGGACAAACGACAGGGGACAACCTAGGGTTCTGGACAGGACACACACTAAGAGACAGCAATTTAAAGACACAAATTTACATAACTGCATGTTTTTGGACAGTGGAAGGATATCCAGTACCCAGAGGGACCCTTTGAAGACGAAAAAGATAAGCACCCATAATAAGAATAATAATAATAATGGGTGCATTTGGCAAGCTGACTTGTGTTGTAGTCACATGCCATTCACATTTATTCACATCTATTTTTATGAAAATATGTATAAACTACTGGGGATTCCCATTTTCTCAGTCTTATACCAAAGGATCAGCTTCTTACAAAGAGCGCTTTGATGTATACATGTTTTTATTATTTTTTTATTATTTTTTTTTACTTGTAAACTGTCAGTATCTATACCGCTGGGAAAGGCCAAAGGTCAGAAGGTCACCCAGTCCATTATAGAAAGGCAGGAAACTGTGTCTTTAAATAAAGGAGACGATGTTACAAACAGCAGTAGCAGGTGTTTCATATGTTATTGAATCAATATACATGAACCATATTATAATGTATCACATAGAAATGGGTTGGCAAATTAGCGGAGGAATGTTAGATCTTCCCACGCACACTTGAGGTTTATCTGTTTGCATCCTCACTTACTCCAATCATTAAGCGTCAGACTATAACGTGACCGGAATTGATTTTAATAGAATTAAAATCTAAAGAATTCACTGAACTCTAAGTGCAGAGAGCTGACATGGTAGGTAAGACTAATCAATTAAAAGCAAATGGTAGATTGACATTGTGATAATTGTATAACATATTGTACGTGTTAAATACACAATTCGTTCAGTAAGTCTCGGTACTAAAAAAAATGTCTGATCCCATTTCCAGTTACCTTGAAAAGGGTAAAACGCGAACTCCCAGTATGCGGGGGAGGACAGTGAAACAGGATCCTGCGCCCTGAACCGCCACGCAAAACGGCTATCATAGCGGGTAACCCAGCCCTCATGCATGCCACTATCATCATAATACATATTACATGTACCTTTAATTTCGCTTTATCGGAAAAACAACAGAAATGTCACTGTATTGGTTTGGACAGCAGGCTTAATGTTCATTTGAAATTTGTGAAACTTCACATTTGTTATATATTTAGTAATATATTGTTTGTGGCCTTAATTTGTTGTTATATAATAATCGGGCTTTTATACTTTTTATAGCTACTACACGAACCATTACCAGTGAATCGTACCTTATGCATGATTAATTTAAAATATTCTACCAATTTACATTATCTACTTGGTTCGGTTTTTCGTTTGCTCTGTGCTTTGGAATGCCGGGTATATATAAAATTAACAATCTAAGATCAACGGCGCATGCGTGTTAAAAAATGACCACTCGTTATTGAATCATGTCGTCTAGGTAGCTGTTTCCTATACATTTAAACCGCTATACTTTAATAAGGGTCGGGCGACTAACCTTCCTTAGAGTTTAGATTTTCCTTCCTCAGGTGAAATACTTTTTTCCAGTTCAAATAAATCAAGAGTGAACGTATGTAATGATATAGTGAACAACAATAAAACAAAGATTTATTTTTAACATTATAAACAATATATTTCTGTTTAATTGGTATATTAATTTTCCTTTAGAATTCGGATGTAAACCTACAGTTCATAAGTAGCAGAATTTAATCTGATATTCTATCTACTTCAAAAAAGCTATGAATCGTAATATGATGTTCATACACTATTATTTTGTCAATCAAGTAAGTGATCACTTTGGGGACAAATGTTAAATAACTAATTAGTCAAGTCTAATTGAACTGCACACTTTTGAACTGCACACGTTCAAAAGTAGAATCATATGAACATAATAATAAGGATGATGTTTTAAACAGTTTATTTAATTGTTCATATGAAACATTTGTTTCACTCGGATTAATAAAATGTGTCCAGGTGGGTCACCTGGAGTTGTAATTCACCAGGAAGATTTCCATCTGTCTGAACGGACCAATAGCAGTGCAGGACAGGGGAAACAACTTTCCCGACACGCAGAATGCTTCATTTTTCACCACAGGTAAAACATGGGATCCCTAATTTCAATTTACACATAGGCCTATATTTTTCATTGATTAAATTTTACAATGTTGTCACCAGAGTCGCAGGAAAAAAGGAGTTAATTCACGTTCAGAAAGACTGAAGTAAAACGTCACAATAAGGATATTGCGTTGTCGTATGAAGTAAAAATCAATGTTATCTAAGGCCCCACAGCTCAGTTTATAGTTAATGATGTAATGGTTAACATATGATTCAATCAAAACCTACGAAATCACAAGCTAAGTCTCAATAATTACATGGAAAAATTATGAGTAATTTTAATACATCGAATTACGGTTTGTCTACAGGGACGTTGGTGCTGGGCCCAACATTGCTTTAAGAAGCTAGAGTAATAAAAATGTATGTGCACGTGTGTGTGTATATATATATATATATATATAGGCTATATGTGTGTGTGTGTATATGTGCGCGCGCGCGCGCACACACACACACACAACCTGCATTCTGTGTTATAAGGTATTTCCTCTATTAATACGTCACTGCACTAAACACAATTATTACGCTTTACAGCGGATGTCCGACGTTTCATAACCTGTTTTGCACACTAGTCAAATTTACACAGCACAAATAATTTACCTTTCACGGCAGGGCGAATATCGTTCACTTTAATGAAAAGCATATGAACCAAATACAGCGAGGCTTGAAAATGCCCCTTTTTTTAGACACAAGCACATTTGATGAGTTATAATTTAATATTACCAGACATTTTTACGAGGCTCTGCTAAACGTACTCAGACGGAATAAGCAGAAAGACAAAGTGCTCCTGTAAATGTGGGTAATTTCTCTTAACAACTTGCTTATGTTCACAGAAACAATGCATGCTGGCAACTAAAAAACCATAGCAGTACATAATACAGCATCTGACCACATAGACACCTTTTGTAGTCTACCACGCTGCAGACAAACTCACACCAATGTCAAGTTCAAGTTTATCGACAGCCGTTGGAAAACCAGAGGCAGCGACCCGGAGGAGGCCGTACCCTTCAGAAAGTTTTCTTTCGGCTGACCAACTTCGATCGCCGTTTCAATTCATAGATACTTATATATGAAATATTACGGTCGCAAACTCGAGCTTGACTGCAGGTTAAGAATAACATGATACCGTCACTAAAGTACCAGCACTTACTAAATATCTAAGTATTCATAATAGTCAGGCTGTATTTGCGGTCAATCTAACATATACTGCAGATCGATTGTTTCTGAATTAACAAGGATATACAGTATATGTATTTGTATTTCTTCGTAAATGAATCGTTGCCTGCAAACCTTAACATTTTATGTAGAATGAATGTAATTATGTGCAATTTGGTTTTGAAATACGAGCTACTGACTGGTTTAAAATAAAGGATAAATGCAACAATAACTGACCACTTGCAACACGTTTTATTATATCTCTGTATACAATAAAATTCTTAAAACGTATCACGAGAATGGAGAAAACACATGTCAGACTAACAACATAAAACATCAGCGTGTGTTTTGCTCATAATTGTACATTTCAGTCATAAAGAAACTTTTTATATAAATATCGTTTAATCTGTATCAAGTAAATACCATAATTTAATTACAAACTGATAAATATGGCAGTTGATATTTACAAAAGAAAAGGCGTGACTCCAGAAAATGTAACAACACGTTACAATACAACGTATATCTTTCTCAAAATCTTCCAGATATTATATTCAAACTCTTAAAGCACAAAACATCACAAGGTAAACCCGGCAAATTAAATATACATTCACATTAACAGTTAAATGTTAACTTTGGCACTGAAAATCCAGTTTAAAGTTGTAAAGCTGAAATCAAGTACTAGTTTATGTTAGATGTTAGTGTAACTGAAAATGTCGGAGTAGAAAAGATCTCGTATATTTGCACTAAAAGTTCATATGAATAGCTACCGTTGAAGGAACATTCATACAAATGTGAACGAGGTTTATCACTGCCATGAAGTGGAGAACGAGAAATCACAGACTCTTATTTACAAAACGATGAATAAATATGCTTCTTCATTTGACTGCTGTAGCAACAAGTCCATCAGAGTGGCTTCTATCGCATTGCCACGCCCATTGGGTGTACATATCTTTATATACGCTTATTATACACGTGGTTGTTTTGTGTTGTTTAGTTCTGGATTCTGCATCTCTGACCTAAACGTACCATTCACTGAAATTTGACGACAGGGTGTTCTGCCCGGCGTTATTGTGAGCCGTGGATGCAGGCGACAAAGTGGTGTTGCTTTGGGTTTCGGTGGATGGGGAAACCAAACCAGGGGGCGTCGATGACTCATAGCCAGAGCTGGCTGCAGGCGAGGAGTCAGAGGCTGAAGAGTTTTCGTGAACCTGAAAATAACGCAGAGAAAAAATAAAACCCATTGTTATGGATCAACCGTATTTGTTTTTGATGTGTAAAGCAAGATGACGTTTCCGCGTTTTGCCTACCTTCATGTGCTTTCTCAGGGAGCTGGGGTGAGTGTACGATTTATCACACATTTTGCAAAGATACGGCTTGTCCGACGTGTGCACGTGCATGTGCTTCTTCCGGTCGCTGCTATTTGCGAAGCGCCTGTCGCAGCCCTCAAACTCACACTGAAATGGTTTCTCGCCTAAACACGGGAAAAAAGGGATGCGTTAGCAGGTCCTAAATCGCTCCATACCGGTGAATAAGTCATTTGAAGCAGGTTATTAAAAACAAATTGTTAGACTGGGAAAAAATTATCATAGCCGTATTACGTGGGCCGAATTAATTTAGTTATTTGATTTATTTTTTAATGCAATGCACTTGTTGAATCTAGAAAATTACATTTGTAAACACATTTTAAACAATTTTAACGTGCACTTTAAACAGTACCATTGGAATAATAGTAAAAATAATTCTCAAAACAGAATTAAATCGCCAAGCAAATTACCAAATATTTACCGTTTAAGTAGTAGTCTAGGACTGTAAATTAAATTAATTAAGTTCCGTTAGAATAGAAGGGGTCTTTCCTATAAAAGGAGATTGATTCACCCAACCATCCATGCATATTTGTACCTTTCTTAATTTCTAAAAAAAGCCGTTCGACAAAAAGAAAACTTAATATCACAGTCCTGCCCGCTCATTCTTGCCGTAAGTACTTATCCATCCATTTCCATTGTGATTGTGACTAGTCAGTTATGCACATAAATTCAGATGTCGACTGACCTGTATGAAACGGGTATATAACAATTGTATTATCTAGATTGTGCTGGTCTGTCCTGTTTTATGATTATAAACCAACAAACTGCAAGAAGTTTAAAATGAATTATAGGTTTCTCCATTAATTCCATCGGTAAATCTAACTGCCGTCGAGTAGCAGCGATGGACGAATACATATAACGCGCATTTATTTGGGTTTAAGACATCCAGTCAACTACGACTACAAGTTGTAAAGCAACTTACAAAATACAAATAACACAGCCGTTGCGCCCCATATATTTGCCAAAAAATACACATAATTACCTGTATGCGTCCGCTTGTGTATCTTTAAGTTTTCCGAGCGCGCAAAAACCTTGCCACATCCAGGGAAGGGACAGGGGAAAGGCTTCTCTCCGGTATGGACCCGAATGTGATTAACGAGTTTATATTTCGCTTTAAATGGTTTGCTTTCTCTGGGACACTCTTCCCAAAAACAGATGTGGTTGCATTGCTCGGGTCCTCCTACGTGCTCGACCGAGACGTGGGTAACCAGCTCGTGCATGGTGCTGAAAGTTTTATTGCAACTCTTTTTCGGACTGTTCAGCTGCTCGGGGTCAATCCACTTGCAGATAAGCTCCTGTTTGATGCACTGCTGCCTCATATATCGGAAGAAGGCACCGGGGTGATGATGGGCTGACATGTTCATGCTCATGTTCATGTTCATGGAGCCAAACTGACTGTGCAGTGGAGCAGTGGAGTAAGGGTCGGTCCTCGGACTGGACACCTGGTGATACTGATCAGTCCGCCCAAAAACGTCTCCTGGTAGTCCAAGTCGCATTTGTCCGTTTAATACAGCTGGTGTGCTGTGCGCTCCATGCTGATCGTGGATCCCAGGAAACAATATATGGCCTTGACTGTCTGAATGGGGGTGATGGAGGGACCCCGCTGCGGGCCCGAAAATAGCATGTTGGCTGCTCGCCGGAGACGAATCTCCGAAGCCGCGGCTGCGAAAGAGAAAGTCCCGTGTGGAGTTGAAGGGTGAACTGGCGTACGAGGTGACATGGGCGTGAGGCCCCAAAGCCGCAGCCGCGTAACCCGGTGCCTGCGAAGTGAAAACGGAGCTCTGTCCCGGCGAGAGGTCGTGGTTCAATTTAAACGCACCCATGTGTGCAGAATCAACAAAGCTGTTCTGTGCTAAACTCAGATCCCTGTCCTGCATTTCGCTCGCGGAGTGATGCCTAGTAAATGTACCAACTCCCAAACCAGGAAACTGATGACCAGCGTCCAGCAACATAACTTCTTAGCAGATTCTTTCTGTTAGGACCAATATTACATGCACGGACAAGTAACTATATATGTTATATATGCAGGTTAAAAGAAAAAAAAAATAAACAAAAGTTAATCTCACCGTCTATAATTTCAAGCGAAGTTCAGCGCGGCGAAATGCAAATAGAAAAATAAAACTGGAGTTCTACTTTTTCTATATAACCTGCAACTGAAAATTCCCATGAAAAGATGTATTCGTCTAATGCAAGTGTGGCGAACGTGAAGTCTTAAACGATTTTCCTGATAAAGAGGGAAGCCTTTTGGTGCATCTTGGCGCGACGTCCCAAATGGTGCGCAGCTTTCTTTCTGTTTTCTGTGTTTATCACAGACGATCTGCTTTTATCAGTGGACTGGCAGATCGCTCCCTTACGCCCCCTTAAACTTAAGCCGGTCATTCACCCACTGCGCTCCTATTGGCCACAAATCAATATCAATCCGAGGCTCTCTTCCAATCGCAGCAGCGCATTTTCACCACTAAAGGCTGCTCATAGTTGTCCATTCTAAACTGCAGCCTACTTTTTCCCCAGAAAGACGTCTGATAGGTTTAAAAATGATCGTCGTTATAATATCTGATTGCTTAGCTTTATAGACTGTCATGTCGGTGATAGACTGACATTTCCATTGTAGACAATTACATGCGTTTCGTTAATGGATTGCATAACCCATTGAAATAACTCCAAGCTAATTAAATGAGAATGCTAAAGCATGCACCTTCAGTATGTTGAAAAATAAAGAATAGCCTACCGTTATTACGCAATCACCTTGCGGAATTTACGAAGCGCACGAAAAGGATCGCATGGGTATTTTATGTATAAGGCATATTCCTCTGAGAAGCAGTCGAATATGCCGGTACCTGCGTAATCGAGGATATTGAGGGCATTAATAAAACCGCTACCCTACGGCATCAAAGTTTTGTAATACAATGCCGTTTCATGTTCTAGCCTGGTTAATTATCTTATCGTAATAAAGCAGCGAGCCCGCTCTTATTGAATCCGCGTACAGTGGATAGTATCATGTGTTTATCGAAGAGCTATGTTCTTGTTACTTTAATGACTTAATGATTTATTTAGGCAATTCAGTCAGAAAATAACAATATTTACAGCACTGCGATCGACTGGCATCCCCGGCTTCTGTCCTACGCTGCCTGGGATGGCCCGGATGGGCTCCCACACCGCCTCAACCCCGTCTAGAATAAGCAGTTGGAAGTTAGATGGATATTTACAGTATTAATAATAAAAACATTAAATTATCGCGCGTTTAAGTAATTAATATACTGTACCCTTTGTTTCGAGACCAACTCCAATTTAACTGCTCAGTTACTGCAGACTTAATTACAATATTAGCATTTGTTTGAATTCCCAATGCCGTCCCAGCACGTCCTCCTCATTGTCATAATAGATACAGAAGCACGCAAGATAACTCGATATGCTCAAATTTAATTACTTCGAATTAGATTGAATCGCATGTGTTATTTGTTGACAAAATATACAGGATTTGCATTTTAATTACTTTGAAAGGTAATAACAGTGTTGAGGAAACGCAAAAAAATAATAAAGGTTTTCTAAAAGTATATTTATGCAAAATGTCTCAGTATGATGTTAAGGAAATGTGGTTACACTAATTGTCATGTCCACGGGTATTTTGTTAGACCTGAAATAAATAACAGATTCGCTGCAATGAATATAATTAAATGACTTTGAACACGATGCATGACTAACTGGATTTCAGTCGTTATTCACAAATTTCGGTGCTGCCATCACCTGCAGTGTCACGTAAGTAGGATTTAAAAAGGTTATCCGACCAACGCTATATTTACACGTATGTTAACGGAAGATGCAGGACAATTTACAATCACAGACTCACGAGGTCTGACCCATGATGAGAGACATGTATGCTGACTCTTTAAAGAAATACTAGAACATGAAAAACACAAGACTCTGGTCTAGTAATGGAAAAAATAGCAAGGATAAAGAAAATAAGTATAAGTAATGAAATCCCATATTCCTCTCAATTTTCAGACAAAAATATCTGCCTAATATTCACCTAGAACTATTTTTCAGCAGGTTAGGACATAACGTGTTGTTACAACGTGTTTCTCTTTTTATCTGTAAAAAAAGCTTTAGGTTATATCTATGTAACAGACGTCACTGTGCCTGTTACAGTTACATTTGGGAAACCATAACATAACAAACGGCATATTCTATAGTACGTTTTTCTTTAACTGAATAATCGCTGTTTTCTGTACATCCTATTGTTCTTCTGACTGCATGGCTTGTGACAGGCTGGATTCTAGAACACAGTGACTGGTTTCGTGTCCGTAATCTAACTTCAACCGGGGACTAAGGCAGTTCATTTCTATGGCACTGTATCCGTACTGCATAGATGTCAGGCCTAAAGTGCTTCCAGAAACAAACCTTTGTAGATTAGTGGTTTCTTTACATAACCGAGATGTGGCAAAATATCTAAAATTTCAGTTGTACAGTTTAACCAAGTACATGATTGTAATGAGTTTGTATAACGAAGTAGTTATTGAAACCTCCTGTTTCTCCAGTCACTGCTTTTGTTTGTTTTTGTAGTTAAGGTTTTGTAGTTTACATTCTCTTTGAAGTGATCTGTGCTAACTCCACATTTAAGTGGAGACAGGAAACCAGCCCTACGCTTGTAGTTTAAGTTGAATAGACACTGTCACTGCCAGACAGCTTAATATGTATATGCAGAAATAGATTATACATTTAGATATGATATAACAAGAATGCATTCTACATATTTATTATCTCTGTAGGATAAATAAAGTTCTAAAAACAAGTTACGATCCAAATCAGGATTTATTTTCAATTCACATTTTAAACTTCCGTATATAAGTCGCAGTAAGCAAAGTGTTTATTATTATTATTATTATTATTATTATTATTATTATTATTATTATACATATATTGTTGCATCATCTACTGTAAAGTAAATGATTCTCAATTGAAGTAAATCTAGTTCAATAGTTTCTTTAAATAGTTTAATTGTTTCATTTCAGGTAACATTATTATTATTGTTGTCATTATTATTATTAAAAATAATAACTTATTTTATTGCATATGAAATATTGAATCTATCCCAATTCTTAATATTTATTTGGATATGTACATTAAATATGATTTAAAAGTGATTTTAAATAAGGTCATTTAATTTTTTTGAAAGATCATTAAACATTGGAGAATGTTATGTAGCCTATATGACACGTTTATTATAAGCTAATTTATTTTGAAGCGAGTGACAGACCCCGAATCCGGATAAATATTACACAGGCAGACACAGATACACAGTGATGATGAAAGAACAAAGACGGGGCGGATACCCGCTGTGTTTTTGCTATGAAAGACATCCTATCGCTTCCTTCTCTTAACTGCCAGTCATAGAAATTCGTCCAATAACAGCAGTCCAAATTCTGAACTCTATTCCCCACCGTGCCATCCAACTGTTGTATGTTCTGCCAATCGCTTGAGGACAGAGTGGGGAAAGGAACAAGCAGAGTTACAGAAAGAACAAAAGATGAAAAACCTCTGTCCATAAGTTATTGTTACTGATATTGCTTTGTGTGTATATGGGAAAACCAACAACAGATAGTGTGGATGGATCTGGCAGTGCAGTTATGGAGACCACTTTGAGCAAAAGGAAATTGGCGGTGAGTTTAGCGGATCTGGCTGCAACTCGAGCCCTCTCTCCTCAGAATATTCACCTTCACTCGCACAATTTCCATCTTCACCCCGTGGAGATGGGCAACAACTCTGAAATGTTGCCGCATATTCCATTCGGACCTGAGCATATGACACAAACAAATTCTCTGAAAAACACTCCGTTTCAGATCACCGACAGCCGCGCCGAACCACAGACGACATTTTTCGGCTCTGCAGTTGGTTTAACAGTGACAAAAACCAACTCAAACTACCAAACCAGCAGGGACTACATATCAAAAAGAGAAGCCTGTCAATCTACTATGCATACACTTGGTAACCGACAAGGTTCCGCCTCCTCTCCGGATCAACAAGGCATGTTCCTTCACCCAACAGGTGTCTGTGGATACGAGAATGGTGTTGGCCATCCAATCCTTGTCGGACTTAAAGATGAAACTATACCAACTAGCCGTGACAATGGCCGTAACGGGTGTTTTTCGGATGTCAAAGACAGGCCAGAAAACTTCGGTTACGGGCCAGATCCCTGTGAGTCTTTTCCTCGCAAATGTAATTCTACGAACTTTAATGTGAACGTCGCTTCGACTAGTCACGGCGAAGCGGGGACGTTTCTGAGGTACAGGAGACCGCCCGTTAAGCAAGAGTTAATTTGCAAATGGGCTGACCAAGGGCGCAGTTCGAAGAAAGTTTGCTCACTAACATTCAGCAATATGCAAGAACTGGTTAACCATGTTACCGCCGAGCATGTCGGGGGAGCCGAACAGAGCATCCACGTTTGTTTCTGGGAGGAATGCGCACGAAAGGGAAAATCTTTTAAAGCAAAGTATAAACTGATAAATCACATCCGAGTCCACACGGGAGAAAAACCTTTCCCCTGTCCTTTTCCGAGTTGCGGGAAAGTGTTTGCTCGTTCGGAAAATCTTAAGATTCACAAGAGGACGCACACAGGTTAGTGTAATGGGGTGGTAATAAAAGAATGAATAAATATTTTAAGAAAATATTGAAACTGTCAAGGCACTCTGCGTGACTATTCCCGAGATGTATTCCCATAAGAGGGACAGATATTTTTAACTTGGTTATAGCGTATCCTATTTATTTTCCAATGTGGCAGTCTACTTTATCTCTGTGTATAACGATTTCATGGGCTTTGTTAATCTTTTAAAACTAAATGTTTTACTAAAACCCAAGTTAAGTAAAACGCTGATAAATAGGCCTATGCCAATGTTATAGTATATGTAATATCTATACCGAGTTGATATTTGCATTATTCCGAGGTCCGCTGCGTTACGACAGCCTACACAGCCTAACGGTTTAAAAATATGATATTATCAAAATATTGCAAATTACCTTACAAAAGCACTGCAGGTGGACCATCCAGTATCTTAAGATGGCAATTATGACCATTATGGTCATATTCTTCGAACAAATGTGCTCCAGATTTAGGAGCAAATGTGCTACGGATTTAGCATTGGTGTATTACAGTACATCGCCTTCTCTAAGGTACAACAGCAGCGCCCCTTTCGGGGAGTTAAGTCGTCAACATGTACATGTTTTTCACCCCTGCTGCCTACTTGCCTAGAGTGAAGAGAAAGTCATCCTTTATATCTGATCTCCTTTTAATTGTTCACCTAATATAATGCAAGCAATATTTAATTAACGTGTAAATATATAATTCGATCTACTTTGCTTTCAAAGTTTGTCCCCAAAATAAATGAGAGCCAAATACTTTAAAATAAATGTCTCGGTTTGGCATATAAAATTATTTCATTTGCAGAAACGGGGTTGTTTTCTAAGTTCGCATCGCATAAACGAGTTTTGCATAGAGCTGTATACCTATGGTTTTAAGTATGACGGATATTTTACATTTTGAAATTCACCTGGTTTTTATTAGGGGTGAATTTTAGCTCATTGCGTCTTCGCAAAGTATAATCATTTTTTAAAATACCATGTTAATTATGGAATAAAACATGCAAATCATATCCACACAAAGAAGTAACGGCTTAGTCGCAAGGGGCAGCCGCGGTACTGGAAGGATCCAAGCTACAAATAAAGAGGAAATCAAATGAAAAATATAACTGAAAATAATGTACAATTTTCCTGACATTCCTACAGCATAACATGAAACAGCTCGTTAAAATATGTCGGTGAAGTTTCAATTACAGTATTTCTCGTTTGGTTTTACTTTACTGTTGAATCACATTAAGGGGATTTGTTTGCTAAATACTTGTGCGTTTATCTTATTTTCAGGAGAGAAGCCATTTAAATGCGAGTTTGATGGATGCGACCGGAAATTCGCCAACAGTAGTGACAGAAAGAAACACTCCCACGTCCACACGAGCGACAGGCCGTACTTCTGCAAAATACAGGGCTGCGACAAGGCCTACACGCACCCCAGCTCGCTAAGGAAGCACATGAAAGTTCACTTCAGGCCTTCTCCTCCTTCATCTCCACCTTCCAACACAAAAGCCGCTTACCGTTCCTTGCCCAGTTATACCAGAGAACCCTTTCCCCCGATTCCTGGCCATACAAAATGCGGTGCAGTTAAACTATCGCCCAAGGTTAATAACCTCAGCGAGTGGTATGTTTGTCAGGGGAGTGCAGGGCCTAATATTCTTTGCATTGGGAGCGAGGACGATTCTTTCAGAAATTCAGAGCCAAGATCAATAATCTGATAATGGCGCCATTACACGTGCTGCCAAATAGAATAAGCAGAGAAGAGATACAACAAGTGTATATGCTGGAAAAGGAATAATATCAGATGTCAAGTCGTTAAGGTCAAGAGCAGTTTAAACCAACGCCCTCCCCCCGCCCCCAACCCCTTTTTCTTTTAATGATAATACGATGTACACGTCCAGGATTGAAATATTCATGAATTATTAATATGTCGCACACAAGAACCCGCTCAAAGAAACAAAAATTTCTAAGACTGTGAGACATTAAGTATCGTGAGTGTGTTGAATGACGTATGTATGATGTGTGGTAGGAATTACGTGATTCAGATGTCACTGGTTAATTATTAAACAGTGACATTGTCCATTTGATGTAATTATTTACGTAACTCTTCACAGGTGACTGGTTTGATCGATGTCCGATCTCAGCATGAGCTTATAAATCAGAGTTTTTCTGTCAGTTAACAGCCATATATTTTACATACAAGAAGGTGGTAACATTTTGATACGCTATGGTTATTAATAGATAAATATCATATGGAAATTATTTTCGATGACGATGACGCTTTTACGTCTATGTTAAAGGAGCATGCTCTTTTCTAGAAATTGTAGGTATAAACTAATGCTAATAATAATTGTTATTCATATTCTTTAATCTCTGTTCCCCCGAGACCATGGGAATAGTACCCATCTCATCTCCTCGAAATATGTAGGTTATTCGTTATTTTCCTAGATTTTCTTATAGGTGTTTTTTCTGAAGCTGTTTTGCTTCAATAAACCATTCCTACCAAAATCCACGGGAAAAATTCTATATTAAATGTTAATACATTTAAATAACTGGCAATATGTAATACTCCAATGGAGTCCCTTCTTAGAGAACATCACAGAGGCGCGACACGGATTCGGACTTTCATTTAACACGCACATACGCAACAAACCTGCCCTGCTTCGTCTTCAAATGATCTCTTCTTGAGCGGAAGAACTAAATATACGGAACGGTTTGGGAAACCTGTAAAAACTGAAAAGAAAACGCAAAATATTTCGATACCGCTAACTAAAATTAATTAGTGGGTAACGAAATTAGAAAACAACAGCTTTTAACGTTTGGCGCCAAATATTTCAAGAAAAAAACGTTACTGCTTTGCTCATTTTTCCTTTGGCAGTTCACACCTTAAGAATAAAAATTCGTTCGAGGAATCCAAATAATTTGAAAGACGTATTTCTCTTCGAAATGAAACGTGATTCCTTAGTAGTCCATAAAATATAAACATTTTTAAAAGACAAAGGGTGAAAGGTAATATTCACTCTTCGCTCTTGTACTGTCTTAGTTTCATGTGATGTTAGCTAAGTACATCTTGACATTAACATATTTTGGCTCCCGTACTCAGAATTTTCTGTATGTACATAATTAAATTTGATGTGGACCAACTGGTGTTGTGATCCCAGTCTTTTGTCCATAAATTTCTATTTGGAACGATCAAACAATGGTTCTATATTTAACACAAGCACTCCTTGAATGGCGAAAAATAAACAGGATGAAAAATAACCAAACAGATGATTCCTCCTAGTTAAAAGGAGGGAATTAATAAAAGAGTGAAACAGTCACCGTTGAATGAGAAATGCTTTGAAGTGGAACTTATTATCTGTGGAATACTTCTGGGTTGTCCTAACGACGCTGGCGAACTGAGAGTACTCTCCTTTGTTGACGATTTGTTCTCCTTTATTCAGATACCCGTAGAAATCGGTTACATCGACTACTTTAATCAGTAACTTTCCATGTCAGACTTGCAGACGCCTCTCCATATAGAACAAAGCAAAAGTCGCAGTAAAAACACCGTCCGTCCTCTTCCATTTTCTTCTTTATGTGGTAATATGCTTCGAGTAGTCTGATTACCCTAAGAAAAGCTGTCAATTCGGATAGCCATTCTTACTTGCAAGTTGCTCTCAACCAAATCTCACGTAGTTCTACAAATTAAATGATTAGATGATTTACTTATACTCACGTACATTTAGTCGATGTTTTCAGTTTAAAAATTCCCTCAAAGTTAATAAACTAGCGTGTATAGCCATTTACTGCTTTCTAGAAGCAATCCTAACATGCAACGGCATTATAACTCAAGCAGTACCACCAACTTGCTTTCACATTTTCGCTTTTTTTTTTTTTTTTAAATCAACTAATTAATCTGGTGCCTTTATCAAAACCGGCTGACCACAAAAGGAAAGGCTGCATTTTTTCTGATGTTTGCTGCCTGGGATTTGAACCCACGACCTTTGCGTTGTTAGCGTAATTTGCTATTTGTTGAGTAAATTACTTAAAAATCTTATATCTACAAGACATGTTCTACAAATATATATATATATATATATATATATATATATATATATATTCATTTCAAGTGTTCCTTGCATTTGCGCTTATGCAATGACACATTCGTGAAAATCCGAACAAATCTAAGACAAACCTAATTGTCTTGTGATTAAGCGCACGGATTTGCCTGCAGGTTATACGTTCACGGTCATGGGGCGGAAGCTGTTGTCTCTTTGAACAAGGTGCTCAATTATCCAACTATTCAAACAGGTAAAATTTATAAATCGTTTGAATGAAAGACTCAGTTAAGCACTTAAATATGTGATTTTTCAAATGAGAAGGACAAAGTGTTATTAAAAGTATTAATTACGAGATAATTACGTGTAGCCCTGCACAGAAGATGGTAATAATAATAATAATAATAATAATAATAATAATAATAATAATAATAATAATAATAATAATAATCGTTATCATTAGGTTATAAATAATAATGATATTCTATTTCTGGATTTCAAATAGGAAGAAATATCACCGTTTAATTTACCGAAAGACTAATCTGTGCAAAAATCGATCATTAGGTGCAGTTGATATCTTGCGGTAGGTATGTGGAAGGTTCGGCTTTATTGGCGAATTTCAGGGACAACTTGTTGATGTTGCAGGACTCCAGTTCCAGCAGCTGCGATTTCACCTATTAGCCCCGATGTCTTTCAGACGAGACGGTTTTACTCTAACATTAGACAATGGGCTCTCCGGGGTACCACTCGTCTGACCTATGCCCACTTTTAAAGCTTTCATAAGATCTTCATTAAATCAATTACGAAGCAAGCATATCAAGACGTATTTATCATTACCTCTGAAAATCTATATTAATGTAGCCGATTTGCAGCAGAAACGATAATGGACTTCTGCAAGATCCTTTGACTGGTTGCATTTTCCTTAAAAATCTTAATTTGGATTATTTGTGCTTGGAGCTCCATCGTGCGTGGTGCATTCAGTTAAAATACTTAGAACTCATTTATTAGGAGTTTTGAAAAAGCAATTTATTATAGTTTAGAAACATGCCTGCAAAACTTCTGAAATTATGAATAAAAGCAATAATTTTCGCTTGTCTGAAGCTACGCATAATACAAAATATTTCAAATAGTAATAACAAATCTTGAGATAATCATGTTTATTGATTACAAGTAAATGTATGGCGAGCGTTTGGTCCTCTGTACGTCTCTGTACGTTCAATTGTATATTAAATTATGAAATACCCTTGTCAACAAAACAAAATTCTTATATTATGAAACGAATAAAACTTTCGATCAAAACTTTCAGAAAAGTTTACAAAAACTAAATCATTCTACATACTCCGTTTGCCACACACGGACTAAATTAAAATAAGGAAACAAATCACGTGCGGACGTGATTTAAGGCGTGACTTCTTCACCTTTTTGGAACTAAATTAAAATTTTCAACTTCGCGTGGGTAACAACGGTTCCCCCTACTGGGATTAAATATGAACGCTCGTGTGCGCAGGTCCAGTTGACTGAACACCGAACGTTGTAGACGTTACTTTTCTTCACATACCAGACAAGCGGGATGTTTAAATAATATATTTTTTATGTTCTTTTTGGCTAAGGCATACTAGTCCTTTGTGCTAAGACTAAATCTCGGCTCTTTCTGTTTCCTTTAGATTAACGGTGCCCTAAATCAAGCATAATATTATATCAATGACACACTGTATTTTTTTGGAGATAAAGACATTAAGCAAGAATCTCCGCTAATTCAGCGAATTAGGTAGAATTCACCAGAATCTCGATTTACCCGCAATAGTAAACCTAGCCATAACTTTGCCTGGGATAAGAAAGTTTTATATTTGCGCATAATTATTTAAAAATATTAGTATTTTGCATGCAAGATATGGATTTTGAATTTAAAATTTAAAATAATAATAAATCATTATTTGTTTCGTTTTTGAAAACAATATTTAATAACATTTGGCAATCTCAATTTACTAAGTATGGCAGTATCAGGTTCCATGTAACTGAATGCCAAACCCAGATGACTACTATACAAAAACCATTCCATTTCGGATTGAATGCAGAATATACATCCTGTCTACTATTTCCACGTGAATGGAAAACTAAAAGAAATGCACAAGATTCAAGAAGATCAAATTCTGTAGTGTATTTTTTAAACAGTATTTTTCAGGCACATCAGCTGCAAGTTTAAAAAAAAATGTGTTCACCTGCAAAAAGAGCCATTTCAGACAGTTCTGCTGGACAGTATTCTACAGGATACAGTATTTCATCCATACCTCCACACTGTCAGAAATAAAGTACCAATTTGTACCTTCGAGGGTAAAATTACTTGTCACGTGGGCTGTACCCTCAAAGTTCTGTCAGATGAATCCTTGTTGTAGGTAAATGTACCTTTTAAGGTACAGAAATGGACTCTGATGAAATTTTTTTGTAGCATTTGGGGTACATTAATGCTGTTTGTACCTTGGGAAACAAAACTGTACTCTTTTTTTTTCTGACAGCACACAGGAGAAGCCTGATTTACTTCTCAAGCTAATTTTGTGAATTTCAGTAATGGCACCTAACTGAAAAGGAAATAGCGAAAAATGAAAGTAATGATCTGTGAAAACATGCAAAGATGACCAAAAACTTGAACTGGTTGTAACTGTTAATTTGGCCTGTTGCCTAATTGATTCGGCTGTAACACCTGTCTTAACAATTTGCAAACCACTGAAATACAGACAGAGAAAAACAAAATGACTATTAAAGCCATTCATAACTGTTCAGAGGCTTGGGGACAATGCAGGTTTGCTTGCACACCAAGGAATCTATGGGTTCTGTCTGTTTTGTTAGGTTAAAATGAATAAATACTGAAAATAATTACATCTAAGCCTATACATAACGTCAAAAGGTAGCACAATAAGACTGGCTAATCTTCAGGAAGTGATTTTGCTGTTCACTGGGGAATTGAGTGTAATCTGTAATCATCTATCTAGGGCTAGCATTTATGACAATTCCTTCCATGTAATCATTATGCTCAAGTCTTAATTAAAAGTATTTTAATTAAGAAGCAGTAGAAGAAAATGTCTTGTTTAGAAAACAGTCAAATTACAGCATTTTCATAGTGGATAAAAGGGGCGATATTGAAATCAAGTGGCGTCCCATGCAGGGCTGACTCAGGCTCCAGGCTCCAGGCCCCTCACACCCGCGAGCTGGATAAGTGCTTAGGAGGTAGATGGATGCATGTACGATGTCATCTTAAGAATTACAAGAATGTAAAAGCACCGGAGTATTACATCTGTTCGAACCAATGTCACCCAGAAAACCCTGAATTAATTGAATAACAGAGAACATTTGTCATCAAAATGCAAAAAATAAAAAAATAAAATAAAAAATCGAATTTTAAATAGTTGTAATACTTATTCGCTAGGATGAAATATAAAAAATAATCGCAGGCAATAAACGTTTTATATTCGCACAATAAGCACGCGAACATGACTGCAAGACATTTCAGGTTACCCAAAATGACACATCATACGATTCCGTTACTTAAACATTCAATGATGACTTTATGGAGATTAAAAAAAAATCCTGAAAAACAAAACACAATTTAAAAACGTCTTCTGCAAGATACCTGTATTACACGCATCTGGAATATCTGAATGTTGCTTCAGTGTCTAGTGTCCGTTTTTGTGGGTTTGGGAATTCGCTGGGAAATTAGAAACAGACCTACATTTACTCCTCAAATAGCTTTTCGCTTTGATTGAAATATAACAATTTATTTCACAAGTTGTCTGAGACAATGATATTTTATTAAATTTAATTAGCCAGAATAACCAGAAATAAATTAATATTGAAATAATGTTGTTTGTTTTATTATTGATCAGGTACAAAAATACTAATTTTACATATATAAACAAAAAAAAAGAGATTTCATGCACGACAAATAAGCCTGTGAAGATATTAGGTATGAATACGTCCTCCTGCAGAAACAAGGGCGACGACAAGGCAAGGGTGACGGATCGCGTTCGACCGCCCGCCGAGCTGAAGCCTTCAAGTGCTCATGTCGGCGCTGATCACTGCTGTTACTCTGTGTATATCTAAAGGGCACAGCTGACTGATCATTCGTGCCTTTTGGCTGTTGGCATCCGCAAAGTGCCAAATAGCGCATTTAAAAGCAATGAATGAACGTGTAAATACACAGCTTAGGCTGCATTATTTACCTAACAT